TATTATTATTATTATTATTATTATTATTATTATTATTATTATTATTATTATTATTATTATTATTATTATTATTATCAGTAATAATAATATTATTATCATTATTAGTAATAATAATATTATTATTATTATTATCATTAGCATCATCGTCATCGTCGTCATTAACCAGTATAGTATCAGTAGGAATAGTAATCGGAGACGGAGAAGAGCAATTTGATTTTGTTTGTTTTTTATTAGCTTTTTTCGCAGTTGGATTATAAATCTTAAAATCGTTATTCTTCTTCACGGGACGATACGCGTACTCGGGATGTTCGTTCTTGTGCTTTTTTTTAATCTCATCGGCGATGTCTGCAAAAGGTTTCCTTTCCTGTTCGTTTGCACCTTTCCAAATAGTACTTGCAAGCGCCGTAACTCTTTTCATATGTGACGACCAACCAACATTATTACTTTTTAATAGCAAGGCTACATTTTTTCGAAACACGAGAAATTGGTTTGCCGGGCGTTTCACTTTACTTAATGTCTGGTGCGGCGAAAAGTTTTCGAGATTCACCACCTTTTCGAAGAAATTGATGTGTTGAGTGACATCAAAGTTTTCCATTTTTTCCATCTCTATTATTGTTATTGTTGTTGTTGTTGTTGTTGTTGTTGTTATTTTGATGGTTTATCTAAGCATGAATGCTAGTTAGCTTTGTAAATTTTTTGTGTATTGGTAAGAGGAAAAAATAAAAAAAATTTCTACGCAACGAGATAACAGGACCAAACAGAGGGGGATATGATTTTATATGTTAGCAAAATCGATAGTACATCGATTTTGTATGCTATTGTGATACATACATGTATACACTCCGAACTACGACATTATACATAAAAGAGGGGGATATGCATTATAAAAATATAAAATTTACAGAACAATTAATTAAATAATTCATTGCTGTTAAGTAAACTTTTAACGTATAAAGAATATAAAAAATATAAAAAAAGGGTCTATACTTTCGATTTGTCAGAATCTATGTACCGTACCCTTTCTTAAAAGCACGACCCTCTTCTCTATCTTTATAAGCATTACTTTACACAGAATACTATACATACACAGAATACTATACATACACATAAATTATTACTGTTGTCGTGGTCACCTATATTTTTTACAATTACACGTATAGATAACCCGTTGTTCTTTAAAGAACAAATAATCCAAATCTTACTTTATCTATCGTTCCCCTTATTAATGGTCGCATCATGGAACGCGAATTCTCTCGAATGGATTTCGAAAAGAAAAAATTTTATCTAATACAGCGTTCTACTCGGAAGAGGCAATATATACACGCATATAAATTGTATAAAGTATACAGTGCGCCCGCGCGGGAACAGAACAATCGATCGAAATGTGATACAAAAATGACAGCAATAACAAAAACAAAATCACCATCTTCTGAAACGAGATCATTAAAGGGCTTATAAAAACTTTAACAAAGTGGAAGGGAAAATGATCGTTTTCTCCCAAACATGTACTATGCACTATTTGTGACATATGCAGTCGATCTTACCCTTATCGTGCCATTGAAATCATCACGTGTTGATAGTCATAATTTGAAGAACTAGCGTTAAAAAAATGGTATCGTTTTAATAATATTGATAAACAATTAATTTTATTATGAAACGAATTTATATTATCAAATAGATTTTAGTACATCACCAGCCTTAGTACATGAACACTACGTAGTCTTCGTACATGTACGCTAGTCTTACTATATGTATTATTGGTTCGTCTTAGTATCCAAGTCTAAAAATAATATTCTATAAAATTCTAAAATCAGGGGGAGTTTGTTGCACAAAAGCTATTGCTTTTGAAAATAAAGCTTTGGAGTGATCGCTATCGCTATAGATAAGCTCAATAATGCTTAATTGTTTTTGTGATTTGTACATAAATTTAAATTCAATAACAATAACGATAAGATTCTTAACTAGGAAGTAAATACAAAATTAATCCGGTCATGCAAATCCTAGTTAAGAAGTTCGATTGAATTATAAAATACAATGGTTGATGAGATTTTAAAAAAGTTGCGTTGGAATTTAACTTGAATGATGACATCGAGCGATGTTAAGAAATACATGTAAATGCTGAGAAAGATATTTTGAAAAATATTAATTCAAAGCAAATAAAATTTACTATTAAAGCCAAAAGCCACAAACGTACACGTGTAATTTTCAATCAATAGCACCACTAAATAAAAAAAAACCAATCAATTCGTCGGTTAAATAAGATATCCAGTAAATATTATGCGACTTTTAAAGTGGGTCATGATGCTGCGACATCATAGGAAGAAATGCTATGGCATCATAGGAAGAACAGTACGGCCGAAAGAACATCATCATTCATAAATTTCCAATTAGGTCCGTCATTCATCAATTCCTAAAATGACCAAAACAAAATGAAATATCATAAGCCAAGCAATTGGTTTAATCTTTCCTTTCGTTTAATGTCGAATGGCTATATTTATTAATTCTTTAGAATGAATTAATAGAGAACTATTTTATATTTGCAGTATATTTTGGCACATAATTATTTTATAAATTTCTATGGCGCATATATTTTTAAGTATGTATGGCGAGGTATGAGTTATACACTGTACATCAAATGGTTTTTTTGTTGTTCCGATAACACTAAAATATAGTGTTCCATATGCTTGTACACTACGAACTTAATTCTTGTCGAACGTGTTACCATTAGCGTTAGGCGCACATGTTGTGACTATGTATGCACTTAAAATTATTAATTACTTCAATACTTAGAGTCAGCAAAAAGCGACAATAATCGATTTTTCTAAATAAATACAAAAGTTTTGTATAAAACAAAAATAGTCGTAGAGAATCCGCATTAACCAGATTTGTCAATCAACATTGGGGACTGGTTTTTTCTTGAATCAGCTACTCAAAGGCAACAAACAAATATCGAACTTACTGAAATTTTAGTTGGTTTAGTGACCAGATGATAAAAAAGGAACAAGAGATGTGTTCATTCTTTTGTTTACTCGTCAAAAGATTTTATCATCATATATATATATCCTTATTTTACGATAAACGGCTGCGGGATAACTTGCAAGTACGTATGACGACTATCTTGCGATAATAAATTTAAGTTTTATTCTAAAGAATAATTCTTGGATAAAGGTAAAAATATTTCATATTTTGTTCTTTTTGGGTGAACAAGTAGAGGGAAATTTCGGGATATGTTGATAATAGCGATCATATGTTCCACTACAGTTTTTAATAGTCATGCACTCACTTATACTTGGCTTGGTTTTTGAATTCCATTTCGTATCTTGAAACTAATCACGCAAACAATACATGTAATATCTTTCTTATGAAGAAGGAAGATGATTTATCATGGTATCTTTAATCCGTAACTCTGATTGCGAGGGATTGGTAAAGAACTTTTTGTTAGATTTATTGATTATTATTACATCATATGTTTTTTATATTGTTGTCCATTTTTAGATGATCATTGTCTTTCACACTCGATAATGCAAAGAAAGCACAGGGGTTTTTTTTTGGAAGATATCTCAAATACAAAAATTTCCAAATTTTAAATTCTATGTATGATGAAAAAAATATTTGCGGGATTTATTCTATGTATGATGAAAAAAATATTTGCGGGATTTCCGCGTGAGTTCTTATTAAGTAAGTTTCCTTTTTGTTCACGTTAGCGTTAGCCATAACAATAATTCTTTTGTTCATTTATCCTGTTAAAGATTTTCCGTGTTATTTAACACATAAAACGTATATGCATCTTATCAACTCGCCATTACTGTAATAAACAAGCAACAATCATTTCTTGAATCTTGGTTTTATTATTTTATTTGAGAAAACTTTTTGTTGTGGCCATTATCTGAGAATCTTAATTAACACTTATAGATACATTTAATGTCGAATATGTAAATACATATATATATATTATGAAGATTGTTGCTTGTTTTGTTCTTATAAAAATTTAGCGTTAGCGTTAGCATTTGTTCATTGTGGGAGGAAAATAATGAAATGACGTCAATGATCGTCAAATAATAATGCAATAAATTTAACCAATTATTAATTTGCAGGGAGGCGAACAAATGAATACGGTATCTTTTATATGGGTGTAAATCTGATCCTGTAAGAATCATTTAAAAGCCTCCAAGTTATTTTTGTTGTTGGTATAGTTGGGTGAATGAATAAGACGCACGTTCAGCGGGGACGTGTCGCTTATTACATAAGTATCAGCTACGCCTTGTAGCAATTCTGTTGTCTGTTCGTAAAATGGATTTTGTGGTTTTGATTGACCTTGTGAAAATGGATCGTAATTGTTACGGATGGATGGCGAAACAGTAGTTGACGTTGATTGTTGAGTATTTTGTCCTGTAAGTTGTTGCTGTTGACTTACTCGCGATTGTGAAGTTGAGGATGTTGTCGAAGGTGATAAGTTAGAGGAGGAGGAATTTTGTCGTGCGCAGTCGTTCAAGTTGCTCAAGTTGTTCAAGCTGCCCATTTCTCGTTGAATAAATACTTGCGTGTTTTGGTAATGAAAATGTATTTTTTCTTCAATCTGAGATTTTTACAGATAAACCTTTCTGCTCACCATTATTTATACTTGACCCAGCCAATCAATTGAAGGGTAGTAATTCCATACCGTTATTTATAATGCGACCCAACAAGGAAGGGTGATCTATTCCGAGTTAATCCCGAGTAAAAATTCATAGAACAATGTAAACTAGGCATCAATGCATCAGATGGAACGATTGGTTCAACTTTGATGTAACTTATATATTACAAATATTTTCGATTAAATTTGAGAGAAAATTCGAATATCTTGTTTCAAAAAAACTGCTCCTTACACGACGCTGAATAATCAGTATATTATGGGGTAAGTCAATAAAAACCAAGCAAATTATATATATAATACATATGTAATTTGCTTGACCCATATATGTTTATAATACGTATCGATATATATAATGTATAAAAATACGTATACCAATATGTAAACCACGAACATGCCTAATGGTAATATTTGTGATAAATTATTACATATTTAGATTTTTGTGTAAATAAGAAATAACACATCAGTTTTTTTTGCTCTTTATCGTTAATGCAAATTATCGTCTCGTGTGACTATCCCCATTACCCCAACTTTACAAACAATTTTCCGATAAAAAGCGCGGGTATTTGTAAAGAGCGGTCATGTAGTTTCAGCTTGAGTTTCAATAGTAAATAGCTAGCTGTGTAAAGAAACTTGTGTATCTCTAGCTCTCCGTGTACGTAGTTGTAAAGTGGTAAGATATATTAGAATAATAATTTATTTCTTATCCCCATCACCCCAAGAAAAATTTATTTTCAACTTATTACGGACTTATTTCGTTTCCATTGATTATTTTAAGTTTAAATTTTATTACGTATTACGCATTGACCATGTGTAAAGATAATAATAACGTGTTGTAGATTATTTTTGCTTGGTTGTTGTTGATTACGTATTGTTATAGTTATGCGGCCACAAAAAGATCATATGAATAAATATTCGGAAAGTTAAATAAAAAAAGATGAATATTCGGATAAAAAATGTTTCACACAGATACTCTCATGTGAGGATTCACATCTAAATTTTCTTATTCAAGAGTGACATTATTGTTATACTTTCGGCATTATCCCCGCCCTGATGATTTAAAGATATACAATACATATCGATCTAAATATAAATTTTTTTGGCTCCAATTATTTTATCATTTAGTTTCTTGTGTCAACCAGAAAATTATGATTAATGATACAATAAAAAGTTTTACCGGTATCTTTGCCTTCTCAATATCACATTACTACTTATACAGAGTGACGGCCAGAAGTCACCAAAAACTATGATAATTTTAAAATAAAATACTTCAGCCAATATTAGTTATAAAATAATCGTCTCTATAAGACAAATCCAATATACTAAAATCATTAATTTCTAATTATTGGTTGCTAAAAAATCATAGTTCGAAGATTATATAGTGTTCGGACACCCCTCTGTACTCCAAACAATATAATATTTTAATTTTAAATAAAAATCGTTGAAATTATTCGTGTTTTGGAATAATTAAGTGTGTTCGTGAAATCACGTATTACTAATTCTTTTGTTTTCTATTTTCTATCGCTATGCATTGACCATTGTGTAAAGATTTGACATCATAATACGTGTTGTAGATTATTTTTGCTTGGCTGTTGTTATTTGTTTATGATTATCATTTATGACCACAAAAAGATCAACGAATAAAATATTCGGAATGAAAATTCTTAAATATTCGGATAAAAAATGTTTCACATCTGACTTCTGTTAACGTCCGTCGTTTTGTGATTCAAATCAAAGTAATTTAGGAAAGAGTGAGGTTAAAAGCCATCGTTGTGTGAATCCTTCTTTGGTTGGGCTGTACACTGATTATTTTTAGAGAATTCTCATCCGCAAATTTAGATACTCTATATAAGGAATAAATCAAAGTAATTTACAAAACAATCATATCGATATGAAACAAAAACCCTTGTTAATGTTTAAATTTTCTATATTTAGCTTTATTCAAGAATACTTTCCACTTAATATTATACTTGCGCATTACCCTGTTACACGTACGCGAATTTAGAAATTTAAGGACATACATATCATATCGTACTAAATATATAATTTAATTTTAAATTTTCTAATTTTCTAATTTTTTTATGATTTTTTATCATTTAGCTTTTTGTGTCAACAAGAAAAATTATATCAATAGAAAGTTTTGACCGGTATCTTTGCCTTCTCAATATTACATTACTACCCATATGCCCAAACTCCAAAAAAATATAATATTTTAATTTTAAATAAATAATTTAAAAAAGTACTTTTAAGAAAGTGTTCATAAAATTTTTGTTGTTACTTGTTTTTGCTGTTTTTTTTTTTTTTACCAACTATGATGATATCATGTCCATTGGGGGAAAAGACAAAGATTCCTGCACTGGGAATTGAAGAACATCTTGTTCTTGCCACGGACAATCTTGTAATCGAAAGTTTTCTAGATCGCCAAGATCAGCCAGGTTGTATTGTTGTTGTTCTATCGCATAAGCATCATAAACGTAATGCAACTCACTAAGCATAAGCGGCGGCGGTGTAGATAAATACGTTAAAAACGACGAAGTAGTGGATGAATTTGTACTGCTTTCTTCCAGACTAAAGATATTTAATCTACTATCAGAACCGGTTTGTGCTGGGCTTTTTCCGGTCTTTCTCTTTTTAGAAGTTTTATGGATATAATTTTTTGCATCGAAATTTTTCCAATTAGCTTTGGCACGATTAGGCTTAAATCGATATTGAGGATTAAATGCTTTGTGTTTGCTGCAAACATCCTCCGAAAGCTTCTTATATTCATTCATTTGCTCTTTGGTCGCCATTTTCCATATCTTCGAAGTAACCACCGACCAATAACGTTGATCACTATGTGAAATTCCCATAGCTTCTGCACGCATATTAGCTACTTTACGAAACAAAATGTAGCAATTAGGTGGTCTTTTAGTTTCACCGTCTGTTCCCTTTAAAAATTCTTCGCCATTTTCGTATAATTCGTCGCAAGTGTATGGTAACGGAAATACTTGGAGCTGCTCTCGAATCGAAATGATTTCGGAAATTGGTATGTCGATATTTTTTTTGCATGAAGATTTACGATTGTTTTTATCGTTATTGATCATTATCGTTATGATAACCTATATGGAAAGATGCGTATTGCTTATCGTTATATTATTTTTTGCTATTTCAAATGTGTATGCTAAACAGAATTCGCTTAAAACTGTTAGGAAAGCTCGTTATTCTTTATCAATGGTCAAAAGCAAAGCGAATTATTCAACTAAAAAGCTAACCATAGATATTTATAGCTTTTTTTCGAATGAATTGATATTTATTTATATATTAATATACAATAGATAATGATAAACATCATGATTTGTTGTACATATTATTACAATGAAATTAAGACTTCAAAGGAAATTTTTTCATTGTTTAAATTGTATTAAATCGCAGATGAATGCATATAGAATGGATGTTCTATTGGTATATTTTTGTTTTATAATAAGAATTTTCTTAAGCCGAGGATATATATTTATTCTTCTTTTCAGTATCCTGACCATTTAGATTCTTTCTACGTGTCATAGTTAAAGCTTCCGGCTACCAAGAACTAATTATTCAACAATAAGAGATTGCTCATTAATTAATTAATTAATTATTTTAGGTTCCTTATAGTCCAAACTCATTTATTGTAATTTATTTCGATAAATTTTCTACGTTATGCTCGCATATTCTATAACCATATAATATTTAAATTATTAATACGGAATTTATTTAATTGAATTTTTATATATATGCTTGGTTTCCATAGGATTATCATTATTTAGTTATTCCACGAAAATTCCGATGTGGCTTGGCAGTGCAACCGATGTGCCAATACGGAGATTATAAGAAGTCATGGGAACTGAAACAAATAGAACAAATGACTAAATTAGTACATGTAGAAAAAAGGGTTCTTGATTCATGGAGAACTTATGCCGATTTTCTGCGTGTATTAGTTTGCAAACTCTCGTACGATTTTTTTTTTCCTTCATTGCTGTGGTGTTGTTGACAGGTGTATACACACAAACACATGTATTATGATTCATCATTTCATCATATTCGCAAATACACGGATAATTTTTTTGTTCTTGAGTTGTAATGACATTTCCATAATATTATTGCTATTGTTTCCTTAAAGTTAATTTCCGTTTATACCATATTTACTATATATATTATATGTATCAGGGGTTGAATTTCTTAGAAAAGAATAAAAAGAATTCGGCGTAAAGTTTTTAATTTTGTGAAGCACACTAATCAAATAATACCTATTTTCGAGAATAATTGGTACTTTACTGACTGACACAAAATGGATAAAAGTGTATAAATTTTTCGAAAAGGAAAAAATAATTCATTGGTCCAATTGCTGACACAAAATAGAATAAATGAGAGATTCAGTCTAGGGAAACACGTACCTGAGAATTCGTATACGTATGCAGTAAAAAATTTTCGGGATTGACACGATTGGTTTTTTGTGCTTCATTATTCTATTTTTTATCGAACTTTTGTCAGCACAATAGTTATCTTTGATTCACCTTGACTATGACTAGTCATCCATTAATTTAGAAGTTAATGAACTATCTAAAATTACCTTGAATAAATGATGTAGAATATATAGATACCCCTTATCACTGCCTGCCTTTTCGAAAAATTTATATGCATGTAATTTATGATTGACAATATGTACTAGCAACTAGCATTGTTCGTATTGTTCTTTGTGTATATCTTATACTAAATATAGAATTAACAATGACAATGTGTAATTTAGTTGAGCTAGCGCTAGTTAAGATAAAATAAATTTTTTTTTATATTTTTTCGCTAAGATTCACACTAAAAGTAATGTGCCGTATATCCAAAAGATTTGCGTCAGCTCACATGGTTACCCAGCAGAAATTTATTTTCCAAAAAGTTACGCAATATGACAATTGTTCAGCTCATAAATGTTTTTAAGGAGAAGGAACGAGAGGTAAGCAAGCGTATAGTGATTTCTGCACCCCAAACAATAATGATTATAATAAATGTACGAGAAATTAAGATAGAAATCTAGCGATAAGTACTTTAGTTCACACGAAAATGAAATTATTTGCGGGGGAAATACGGGGAACGCTCGATGCATAAACAATGAACAATCCAAATACATGTGCATTATAAGCGGTGGAAAACTATATTTTTATTTGCATAAATGGATTAACTATTTTAGCAACCAGAAAACTATAATCCGTTGCAGCAACATGCAAGAAAATTAATATACGTAAATGACAAAATAAATGTAATGGCTATGGTGCATAACATTTAAAGTCATCAAATGTTTGTATTTTATAAACTTCTTTGCTAAGAAGTAAATACAAAATTTAATCCGTGAATATGCTCAGAAAGGGTCTATTCTAGCATATTCGCGGATTAAATTTTGTATTTACTTCTTAGCAAAGAAGTTTATAAAATACAAACATTTGATGACTTTAAATGTTATGCACCATATACTGAGAATTCAGATTCATTTAAGATACTTTCATATAGTACACAACTGTGTAATCACTATGATGACCAATAATGTCATTCTAGCCTAATTATAAACTTGAATATACTGTAAAAATGCAATTCACTTAGATTTGGAAGTCGGAATTGCTATTTTAAACCAGCACGCTATTGAATCGAGCTCACCAGGGGTCGAACCTGGAATCTCCTGATTCGTAGTCAGGCGCCTTATCCATTTGGCCATGAGCCCTTAATTCTGTGAAATTGATTAAAAATTTAGGGTTATTTAAAATATCTAGAAATTTTTAGCATTATGAAGTATCTAATAAATTGAACAGCAAATTCCATCATATACATTACTACAAAATCCAACTGGCAATTGATTTTTGGCATGTTTAATCATCGATTCAGACAAATTTGAATAAAATATTTGGTTTGCTGCGGAATTTTGGCAATTGATTTTTGATCTGGTAGGATCCATCGACACCTCGTTTCACCGACGACATATCACCGAGAACCCATTTCATCGACGATCCATTGCTTGGACACCGACATCCTGTTTGTCGGTGAAACGGGGGATGGGTCGTCGGTCGACGAAACAGTATTTCGGTGAAATGGAAGTTGATCATCAATTTTAGCCAATGAAAACGAAGGTGGGTTTTCACATGAACAAAATGGTCAATACGAACATGAAAAAATTTCTAATAAATTTTCTTGAATTATAATTCTTCATCTAACCTATCCTCTCTTAGTGTTGATTACATTTTTAAACATTCTGGTATACTTGATATCAGTTTCTGCCCAGACTAAACTCACAACAATTGCATATATTCAATAATATATGCTTGATAGATTTATAAAGTCAATTTAGATCCAACAAAAGTTAATATAAAATTTGAAATTTCATAAAAATTCAGTGATTTAAATATATTTAATGTGGATTTTACAATTCGTTAATTTTAACAATCGCTCTAAACATATTGAAGTTATGGTGTCAATAACCAATAATCTTAAATGCACATATCATTTTTTTTGTTACAAATACTAAATATATTTCTAACATAGAATTCTGGTTTTTAAGTGAATAGAGACATAATAATTGATTAAAAACTATTATTTAAAACCTCGGATTTTTTCATAATAAATTGCTGGTGTTTTTTAGTTGGAATTTCAAAGGTTTTATTGATTTTCCGACCAAAATTCCCTAGATCCGACATAGAACTAGAATATAAATGTTGACATTTTTTTTACTGTGCCACCATTTTGTAATTTTAAATCTTGAAAATTCTCGGAATATTGAGATATTGCCAAAAAATGTTAATTTTGGTAAAAAAACAGAATGCATGCAATTTCTAAATGCAATTAGATTTAAGAAATTCGCTTATTGTCTTTCTTCAATATTTACTTTCAATGAGAAATATTTATTTATTAGTGTATGAAACCTTTTTTCTTTAACTGATTTTATCCAATGAAATTTTACATTTGATCGGATTCAGTGGATTGTCCTCATAAAGAATAGTTTTATTAATTTTTATGAGACTTGAATGCATCTTACTTTAGTCATCCGTTGGGGATTAAGGAGCTTTACATGTTACAATAATCGTTATATATAGCATGGCCACAGAATAAAGACCTAAATATTCGTATATATTGCAAAAATAAACTACATTATTCATCACTACATGATAAATACACTGTCACACTCTTTATAGTATAGGGGTAAAATTCTCCACTATAAAATAAGACTTTTTAGTGTAACTATCGCTATATACATGTATAAAGAATTTCACTGTGTAATTAATTTAACAGAAAATTGTAAAACATTAGATAATTTAAATTAACCAAGCAAAGATCGTTACGGTTTCGGAACCCTATGGTGCATAACATTTAAAGTCATCAAATGTTTGTATTTTATAAACTTCCCTGCTAAGAAGTAAATACAAAATTTAATCCGCGAATATGCTAGAATAGGCCCTTTCTGAGCATATTCACGGATTAAATTTTGTATTTACTTCTTAGCAAAAAAGTTTATACATTTTATAAAATACAAACATTTGATGACTTTAAATGTTATGCACCATAGCCATGGCGAAAAAAAGTGTCGGGTCATGTGATTCAACCATCCATCTGATATCCTCTTAAAATCATGCACCAATCCAATCGCAAGATCAATGTGTAACGCAAAAATGATCGATTCGGACCTCTAGAATATCATACCGATACCGCTCATGCAGCAAAAGTTTCAGTTGATTAAGTATTGTTATTAACTTATCGATAAGTTCATGTTGTACAATAAAAAGGTAAAAAAATGAAAATAACAAGTTTTTGAGTGCACAGTTCATTTGAACAATAAAAAGGTAAAGAGCAAGATAATCAAAGATTAACTAAAAAAGTGAAAATAACAAGTTTTTGAGTGCACGAATGTAATTATGAATGTGGATTGTGTTACAATGTAGTTTCATGATTTCAGAAAAGCCATTCCATTGATGCAGTAAAAAAAACAAATAATCTTAGAAATGAGTTTTTTCCAATCATTTCTGCGAAACCCAGAATCATTTGTTTTGTCCTACTGCATGTTGGATATTATTAGCTTCTACATTATAACATTTATTTTGTTACACTAGCATTTAATAAAGATTGACACGAAACCACATGTATAAAGGAATGTTTCTTCAAAATTGTAAAATTTCAATAAAATAAAATACTGAAATTCTCTTAATATGTCCGCATCGTGTCCAAACCTTAGCAGAATTTATTAGACCAACTTACTCGTCAAATATTTCTGCAAACGAACTCGTTCCTGATGCTACACGTAAAGGAAATGTTCCGAAAAAGACTTCCAACGCGTTTATTATTTATCGAAAATTTTGTTTCAAACAAATAAACTTTCTATTCCTATGAAAAGCGCTTCACCTATTATCGCAGAATTATGGGCTAAAGAGCCACAACTAGTGAAAAACGAATATAAGCAAAAGGAAATGTTCCGAAAAAGACTTCCAACGCGTTTATTATTTATCGAAAATTTTGTTTCAAACAAATAAACTTTCTATTCCTATGAAAAGCGCTTCACCTATTATCGCAGAATTATGGGCTAAAGAGTCACAACTAGTGAAAAACGAATATAAGCAATTAGCTAAAAAAAAAGCCAAAGAAATTTATGATACTCGACATGGCTTAAAAAATAAATTTAATTTGTCGACTTTTAGCATCATTCACGAAACACCGCAAATACTTCGAATATAACTATGCCTAATTATGCGGCCAATAATATTAATGTGGCTACCAGAAATTTTATTTCTGTTGGATCATCTACTCCAGACTATTCAATGATGTCTCTTGGATACGACTGCGACCACGCCGAAAGTAATACGAACATGTTTTCTTCCACTGGCCTGTCATCCCTTGACTTCAATTTTGACTATCCAGTTTTGATTAATGTTCATATCAGCTCTCTTAAACTCGAGGATGGAGTGAATCAAAACGACTTTTTCTTTTAGTTTACTCAATTAAACTCAGTTCAATTCGCAAATAATAATTTACATATACAAATTAATACGTATAATATAAACTTTTTTTAACACATATATGGTGTAAAGGTCTAAAGACATCCAATATATCCAATACTTTAAACTGTAAAGGATTTTCATCCAAACATTTGAATCACAAGAAAAATACGTTATATTATAGTTCACATCAAAGGTTATTTAGCAACGTATTTTTTGTGGTTGAAGTGTTTGGATGCAAATCCTTTACAGTTTAAAATATTGGATATATTGGATGTCTTTAGACCCTTTGCACCATATTATCCTCATTTAAAGAATTTAAACCTCAATTTAACCTCAAGCCTATTAAACCAGTAACTAAATTTTTTTTAAAAAATCGCCTAATGAAATCTAATTTAATTATTTGCGGAAAAAATAATTGGATTTACTAAAAAATTAATTATGGTTCAAATTTTACAAGAGGGAGAATACTATACAGAGCGCTTTATGGTAGTAAGAAAGTAGTAACATTATCTTTATAAAGGTTTAAATCAATAATTTTTTTCAAAATTAGAGATTTACAAAATAAATTATACATCACCCTAAAAAAAGTATCCGGACGACCCCTGAATTTGCAATAAAATTGAAATTTTCTTTTATTTTTAGTCAAAAATGGGTGATTATTTTAAAAAAGAGGCTGCTATTTTGTAGCTAAGCCAATCTACTACAAAATAGCAGCCTCTTTTTATTGTGTGAGCTTTGTATGGCGATCCTTTATTCTTTAAAGATGGCTAGTTTTATTGGTGTCTCTAAGTGTCCTGCACTGTGCAAAATAAGTATTTATTTAAAAATTTACTATTTCACATAATCGATGGCCAGAATCATTCAATCAAATTTGATTGGTCAATCACGAGTCACGTTCTGTATACATTTTAAGTTATGGGAAGTCTACGAACAGTGCTTCGGGCGTGCTTAATCGCGTGATATTTTCAAGGTCAGGCGGTGAATTATGTGTAAATATACTAAGTAGGTAATATCACCTGATAGTGCATTTACAGGTTATACATATAATGACAACATCATAACAATGTCATGATAATGACTTAGACGTACCAAGTTAATTCGAATGAAATGTAAAAGAATAATTAGTTTTTGGACACTAAAAACAAGTCTTATAATAAATCAATCTTTATTCTCACATTCATCTATATTAAATTTTGTATAATACATTAATTGCTTATTATATATTTGCGTTAATATACTAATTATAAATTTTTCTGGCACTGGCCTGGAAAAGGTCATGTGATTAAACACTGTTCCAAGCACTGTCTGTTAGCTTTTGTTTAAGTTAAACCCCTTAACACACAACATGTGTCTTATGATAATCACGTGATTTTTTGACCGGTGAACAGAAATCGATTTTTTGATCTATTTAAATTCTGTTTATTTTTGTGACCAAAAAGAAGACAAGTCACATCTTTAAGTATATCAGAATAAAAATGATCATTTATATTTAACATAAAAATAATTTCTGATTACAAAGTGATTGCAAATATTTTTTATAATTGATTATCCATTTTAATTAAAAAATATCCAATTTTAGTATGTATACAAAAAATCCAATTTTTACTATAGAATGGTAATAGCAATATTACAATGCTTCAAATATTGTAAGTATAAAGCAATTTGAAATTATTACGCTTATATAATAAACTATTAAAAAATATTTAATTATGAAAATTGATAAATAACTATATATAAAAAAATGTCAAATAACATCAATAAAAAAATTGCACAGAATAAGTTTAGTCAGATCAAGTCGTGTTTTATATTAATTTAATAAATTAAATTATAATGTGGAATTGATTTTTGTACTTTAAGTATTTTCAAAAATAAAATATATAATTAATATAAACTTCTTGAAAAATAATTCTTTAGCAAGATTGATTAAGAAATATATATTAAATAAACATTTAAAATACAATTACTAAACAAAACTTTAATCTGAATTATGTAAATAATGTTATCTTTGTTTTTTAATTTATTTCTCAGTTTTGCAAGTACAAAATATTTTGGATTGTAAACTATTAAAATTTGGTAAATTTTAACTTTCTATTCAAATAGTAATGTAATATGCATAAATCGAGACCCTTAGTCACAATATCAAGATTAGAAGAGAAAATTTGAAGATGGATTTTTATAGTGTGATTAGATAAACATCTCATCGTAGTTTGTGTAATAATTAAAAAAATAATAAAACTTTAGCCCGATCGGAGAATTAATTTAATCGTAATTATTTTTTTTCTACTATTCTTAGCAATGATTTTTCACAAAACAATGGTTTATTTGTTTATAACGAGAATATTGAAACAGTTTATTACATTTATTAATTTATTTCCACGTGTTGAAGCATTTTCATGCAAACAACCGTATTTTGCCACATAAGTAGTCTTCGGAGAAACTTGCTATTAATCCGGCTTGGAAAGATTTGAAATAATCGCACCGTAAATCTTGTTATTCATTTTGCAAACACATAATTGGTTTACTAAAAATCAGCCTAAATTAAAGTTTAAATTTTCTCCAAGAGAGAAGTACTTGATGCAATTGTCTAAAACAAAAATAGATCATTTGTATCCAAATTCTGATTTTCAACAATATTTGTGATGATGCAAGTGTTCGCTATTGAATCAATAATAAATTTTTATCAATTCTAAATTTGTTGCCTCTTTTCTTCGTAATAGCTTCACGCTATCGTAAAATCTACATACATATAATTATCTTGAAATCAGTTTAAATAATCACATGACTTAGTCGATCTTCTTTCTCTTCATTTACCGTTACGGAATTTTGGAACACTTTCTCCATTCAGATTCAATGAGCAAATACTTAAAACTTTTTTCTTACGGACTACATGTACTATTTTTTTCTTACGGTGCTATTCAATTTTAGCGACACTAGAAGTCAAAGCAACTGTCTCACTAAATTGATTTTTAGCATTCTTCCTTAAGTGCAAAAGAAGTTTGTTAAGTTTAAGTTCTTTGAGAACAATTGAAAGCATTATCTATCAATCTATTTATTATTTATTATCGTTATTAAAAGAAATGCCTGTCCTATTTTACGTACGTAATCATCAGCGGAATTAAAGATACATTTATTATACATGCATGGTGTACTGCATGTATGTATACTGATAATGTATCACCTGATTACTTTGGTTCTACGAATCATCGGGTTTCTATAAAGACAGTGATTATTGCTTAAGCAGTGGGAGACAATTATTATACTAAACTAACCTCTAATGAAAGTGCATGTAAATGCTAATACTAGCACTATAAATGAAATTCAAGAATAAAAATACATAAGGAATTATACAAAAAAATATCATTTCCATAGGAGAAATTATACTAATCATTAATTACTAAGTACATGTACACCTTGTATATATCACAAGGACGCTTAGTTCTTGTTTCCTTCCTGATTTACATGTAACTTTCATTATCGTTATGTAATCTTATCGTGCATTATCAATATGAATCATAGTATACAAGATAATGCATAAAGTTTGCTTTTTGTGGAGAACATAATAATTACTAATCTAACAAAATGAACATATATAGGAACTTTGGAACAACTCCAGGTGCTAAATTTTCCCCGAATTTCTTCTAGACGCGTATAAGTTCTGTGTGCAAGCCAAACTAACTACATGAATTTTTCAGCGTAAATGCACAATTTTATAAAGGTTCTCGTAATAAATATTTCGTCGTTTGAAATTTTGATTAACTCGGCTTTTAGTTCCCGTGTGATAGAAGTTTCGAGATACACCTTACATAATGATAAATAAAAACGCATTTTTAGTGCGGGAATTTTCGTGATAACAAGACACATGTAGTCAATCATGAGCATATGGTAATCATTTGATTGATTTGTGTCAAAATGGCACTACCAGTAATTTAACATCCGTTAAATTGTAATTTTTATATCAAAGCCTAAATTAGGATATTGAAAGAAAGAAGTTAGTCAGCGCACATACCTTTATACACACACACACAACGAAGCGTCACACACTCAATCCCTCAATTGCCAAACGAAAATGACCATTTACCGGGTTAATTTAGACGATTATATAATGTGATTAGATATAAGTATAACGATAAGGTAATCGTTCTTTTTGTTCATCTGTGCTACACTACGTCTCTTGTATTTTTTTCTCTTATTAATTAGATAACGATAATTACAGTAATTAAAAAATGATATGTAGTAATGTTTAGCGATTTTCATCCAGTAAATTAACAACTTCCCCTATATGGAAAATTGCGGAGTCACATATAACGATAAAGATACGTACGTTCACTTTTAAAGTTACTCATTTCCGAAAAGTTGTTATCTTATGCATGCATGCATGTGAAAATAATATCAATAAAAAAATGAATAGAAGAAAGCGCGCGGACAATGGTTGATATCAAGAAACGTTCTGGTTTGAGTTCGTGTAATCGGCTATTAGTTATCTTATCGTCATGTATGATAAGCAATTTCGAAATTTGCATATAAACAAAGTGAGTCTTTTCGCCATTGCTTCTGTTTTTGAAAAAATTTCTCTTTCTTCTTGTCAGCAGTAAAAGTGATATATTTTATTAGCGTGCGATTTTTTTTGTTCATTGATCGTTTTACTCAATCATTGGCAAGAAGTATAAAAGATTTGTCTCAGAACTGCACTCTTAACACTATCGCTATTCATTTGGGAAATAAGAGAAACTAATAACGCGCATTCTTATATTAATTACTATCAATAATAACAAATCAACAACATTGGAAAGAAACTGACAAACTAAAAAAAAATGAATTACACATCATCAAATCAAAAGTTTCTTCCTACATCTATTAACAATACCAACAATACCAACAGTACCAGCAGTACCAACAATACCAATAATAACAACTATAATGATGACAATAATAGGCGGTCAATACATCAAAGCCTTCGGACAAATTACAATCGACAACCACAAAGTCCCCATCATATAATTCCACCACAATTCGCTTCGCCTCATCCGTAATAACTATTTTTAGAAACTCTATACACGATAACTTCTTTTTTTATTACCGTTACGTAATGTTTTTGATTCAAAGAAACTTAAAATTTCTCAATCATACATATACTACACAGTCACGTGGCTCAAACTGGTACATTATGATACGTAGACGATAAATCAATGCAATATAGGTATTAATATTCTATTATTGGGCGGTGCTTAGTGAGGCTATGCTATTTCTCAAAATTCGCGTACTATAAGTGACTTCCTAAATGTAATTCAATCACGGACTGTTTTAACATTCAAATCCATTGTCTTTACAGAATGTATGACAAACCCACACTTTGTCAATATGTTATAATTTTGTCGTGATTATTTTCGAGACTAATATTTAGCTTATTTTTATTAATAAAAAGTAATGTGTAATCGGATGTCTTATAAATATTTCCGAAAGCTTATGGTTACTACTCCGAATGGTTCGGTTCTGATTTGAGAGTGATTCGAAACTAAACCAAAAACTCGTATCTGCAAAGGCCAACCCGAAACAAAACATGACAATACGGCTCGGTTTTCGGATTGATCCGAAATTTAGTCGATGCTCAGTGGACGCGAAAGACCCCTCATATTCCTCCTGCTCGAATAATTAATTAATGTTGTTAGGGCTAATAATACCTCACGAAACTATTTTCATGATGACGAAACATTTCATCACGTCATTCGTCAGACGAAACCCCTGACGATTGACGAAACCTTCTGACCAACCAAAATAATAGCCTAAATCACATGACCAATCAAAATAATAGCTAAAATCACATGTACAAATCCTATTCCGAATTTTAAAAGAATGTTACGTCATTAGAAATCTAATACATGTGTTTGGTTGACTGAAGGCCATAAACGATTTAAATATATATCTCTGGTAAAAATTATGTAAAAAATAAACCGATAAATTGATAAAGCTTGACTTGACCTATTGTTTTTATGGTTTAGTTTGCCAAAATTGTCATTCGTCAGACGATTCGTCATTCACCACTTACATTTCCAAAGTGGCGAAGGTTTCGTGAAAATCAATACATGTACCAGTACATGTACATGATATTTATACACGTACATGCATTTTGCGCATTCGTTCATTTCCAAAATGTCAGGCATCAACTAGTATTTTATCGGTCAGAAGGTTTCGTCATAGGTTTCGTCAGGTTTCGTCATTCGTCAAAATGGTCGTGACGAAAGGTTTCGCCATCATCAAGTATCATTAGTTAATGCACTGACATTTCTTACCTAATATCATTTTGATAGAGGTGTTCATCCCCCACCCCCAGGTAAGATATTATAGAACCAATCAAAAATGCTTAATTATGTATCACCTAAGATCCAGCTCCCCCCTCTAAAATATTACCTAATATATGTCACTGCCCTTAGTTAAAGTTATTTTTGCTAATGTCTAAGATTTGTCTAAATTAATTTTGCCTAAATGTCTAAGTCAAAATTTATTTATTTTTTAATAATTTTTTAAAAAAATAGCTGTCTAAATCCAGTTTGTCTACAACTAACAACACTATAATTAATAGCAATATTTGAAGGCCTCGATTTTTTATATTCTACTTTTTCCTTTCGTTATTAGATTCGTCGTTTGACGAGGTATTTTTTTTAAATATAATATATTTCGCATTATCTCGTTAATTCTTTATCCATTTATACAAACAACAAGACCAGTATCGACAGAGAAATATACGTAGTTTCACGTTTGGCCAGATTTTATTATATCCATCTGCGATAAAATCGATAAATCGTAAAATAATCATTTTACATACGTATGTTACCGTTACTCGCAGGTTAGGTTATATCATTTCGGAACTGATCGTTTTAATCGGTGCATATCATCTTAAGTCATCAAATGTTTGTATTTTAGAAAATGAATAAACTTCTTTATTAATACTAAGAAGTAAATACAAAATTTAATCCGTAAATATGCTCAGAAAGGGCCTATTCTATCATATTTACGGATTAAATTTTGTATTTACTTCTTAGTCAAGAAGTTTATCCATTTTATAAAATACAAACGTTTGATGACTTTAGATGGTATGCACCATATTAATTTCTAAATACAATATTCCCAAAAAATTTGATAAAGCCGTAACGCTGAGATTGTAAAATTATTCGCATTGACAATTTCATGGAGAAACCTTTTGATGGAAGCGCTATTTTATGCACGTACAGTCAAAGTCCTTTACAACAGCACTGTATACATCGGATTCGGCTTATACCGTATTGCTATCCCGACTTTTAACTATTTAAAAGCTCCCTATCTACCGAAGTTTATAATACAAGCACTATATAGCGACTCACAAGTGTCATGCAGCTGTTGTAAAGGACTTTGACTTTATATTCGAATTATGTAATTATAAATAGCATGTTCAAAACTCATGTTTTCTTTTATCAAGAATAAAACGATATTGTGATATACAATAAACTTTTTGGGTTTGTCATTATATGCATGTACTTTATACTTTATATTTACTATGTATAATTCACTCGATTTTGAATGTCATCAAAAAATGAATTACGTATAATGGTTCAAACAAATATAAGGGATTTATTATTATTCAAGATTAAAGCGCTAAAGAAATATTATGCAAACTTAAAGGTACAATATTGTACATTGGGTCTAAAAACATCAAATAGTACACATGATTCAAAGCCTAATAACTCGGAAAACAGTCGAATTATAGACAACATGGCTCTATTGATTATAAATGAGATATCAAACTAGTAGAAAGAATTTTCTAATTGCGTAACAAAATCCCAGCTATTTGATGTCTTTAGACCCAGCGCACCGTATTAATTAATATTTGTAATTCACAAAATCTTCCTTTGTTCTTCCACGCCCAAAATTTGTCAAGCATTATCGGCATTATTATCGTGACTCTTACTATCGTTGCCATTATTACTCTTATCGCTGCACTTTTTTCTGCGATGATAATATATATATATCATGTATGCTAGTATTAGCATAGTTACTATACCGATTACTATCTCTAAAATAAATTTTCTTAGTTGAAATGGTGGCGGTGACATTGGCATTGGTATTGGTAATGGCAGTGGCAGTGAAGTTGAAAATCTGGTGATATCAGCCACTTCAACCCATTTTAAAGTGTCATTATAAATATCCAGAATGTTAAATTCGGCGCTCGGAATATCGTTTCTTTTACCTTTAATTGAATTTAAATAAGTTAATACGGAATTTCTTTTCAATTGAAATTAGATTTATTAGAGATAATCGTAATTTACCGAACGCCACAAAAATGTAATCATTAAAGTATGTTGCTGTTGGTCGAAACGGAATATAATCCGGTCTTTTTCCCTCGATATTCGGCTGTGTCCATTTTTTTGTTAACAGATCTAATATCGCAAGACCTCCATTTGTACTAATATGTTAAAAAATAGTCAGATAATACAAGAATAAATTCATTTTACAGCAGTAATCATTATCTACTTACGATTCATATGTGCGATCTATATCTCCTCCGTAAACTATTACTCTTTTTTTATTATTATCTGCAGCATGAATATTATATCGATATCATTAGTTCTATAAATTCTATATACGGACGTACGTAGTTGGGACATATTATGCGACTCTATCATTACCTAATATTACAACGTGTGCACATCGACCAGCGACCGGCATGTCGGTTGTTGTATTCTATTTTTCGGAATCGTTTTTAATATTTTTTCGAAGTAAGAAATAATATTAATAATACTTACGATTCTTTCCCAGTCATTAGTTTTAATGTTAAAAACTGGTATCTGAAATTCAATAATTACAATGTTAACAATGAATTGTAATTATTAATAAAGAAAGCATCGCATTTTATATCCAAAACTCACAGAGTCAAATGGCATGTATCTTATTGAAGCATAATGGTTTCCACCAATATATAAAATTCTATCATCTGTGAAAACTGGAGCATAGCCCCATATCATATCCGGTGCATTTTTTGATCGCACCATTGTCCACACACCATTATTAGAATCAAAAATGTACATGGCATTATCTTTCCCTGTGCCGTCCCAGCCTCCGAAAATATATATCTTTCCTTCCTTATCGGTAACGAGAGTTAATCGTTCCCGCGGTGATGGTGCAGCGGTATTATTGAGTCGCTCAATGATTATTGGACTCGAGTCCATGCGAATTTTATAAAAGTCGTTTTTGAAAGTTCCTTCTTTGGTTCCTTGCTAATTTAAAAAGAACGAATTCTAGCATACTCATAAATTTTAATAGAAAATGTTTCAATTCATTTATTGATTATTTACCCCTCCAAATACATAAATATAATTTTTTATGGCAACTGGATTCGAAAGATAAATTCCTTCAAAATCTCCAGAGTTTACCAAATTAAACTCTGGATTTGAGGCATTAAGATATTGTGGAGAAGGTGTGCGAGGCAAATCCAAAGAAAAAATGTCACAAGAAACATTGCCCTTCGAGTCCTTTCCGCCGAGAATGTAAATCCTGTTATTGATTAGGACAGAATTGTGTCCAAATCGAGGTAATGGGAAAAAAGCTTTGGAAATATTCACTGCGTTAAATAACAGCAGCAAAATAAATAACAAATTCATTTTTGTTATAATTGAATTCGTTGAATGAAGAAAGCAAGAATATTTTACATTTATTGAGGGAATTAGAAGAAAGGAAAAAATAACTGATTTATATTTAATTATACGAATACGATTTGAAAAAAAAAAGGAATACATTCGCCGTTTCTAAATAATAATTTTTCAAATTTTTAATCTATAACGATAATCTTACCAAAATTATCAAATTAGCACCAATAGTTAATCGTTGAAATTCTGTACATACCACTAGTCGGTGTAATGATGGATGTCACACTAACATGTTTTAAAAGCAACATAGCGATAGGTTAATTGTCCAGGTAACGTTTATCAATTATTTGGTCAGACCGCGCGATAATTATTTGTCAAATTAGGATAATATTGTAAAATAAACATTGGAAACGAATATATAATGAAAATGAAAATACACAATAAAGTAAATGTGTTGTGTATGTAAAAAATAAGAATAAAATTAACAATGAATAAAGAAAAACGGAAAAGGGAAAAAGGAAAAGAGAAAGATTATTTTTTAATCCCAGTCCGGGAGGTCGCATGACTTTTTTGAATATAGTTTCGCAAGAGACTCTTATTGTGGCTGAGATACATTAATTGTGTTTCTAATTAATCTCTGCGGCTTAGCTTGAGCAATTGGTATTGACAGTATTTTGATCTCCAAGTTGTCGATCAAACAATGTCCAAGCAAGAACTTTTATAGAGAGGCTCGTATATACAAATATAGAAAATATTGCCAATTCGATAAGTCTTTCTCGCTTATGTTGTACGTATCTTAAATTTTCTTATGACTACAAATTCGATATTGATTAAAATAAGAGGTAGTTTTTTCTGCCTCAATAGAGATTGTTTCTACAAGAGCATCATAATGTTCGGGCATTACATTTTACATTCATCGAGGCCGCCATAAAGACCCTAACAGCGCTGATGGCACAAACTAGAAATACTAGAGTCTTTGTTGCAAGCATGTAGAAAAGAGAATTTAGATAAAGCTTATAATAGTGCATGGAGCAGTGTTTTTAATAAATTCGTTATTTCGTATTACCTCTTGCCCTGTTTTACCGCCTTTTTTACCTAAAATTACAGATTTTTGTTCATTTTTGATTTCTGAAAATGCGTTCGTGTTTTCAAAAATGTGCGGAAGATCTTTCCCAATTGCACAGTTCATTCCCTTCGGTGTCATGAAATTTTGAACTGAAAAAATCAAAATTAAATAAAAACTGTTCTTTCACTTAAAAACACAAAAATAACTCTACTTACAAGCCATTGCAATTCTTTGTGTAGCATTCCCGTCAGATGTAATAAAAGCATCAGATTCTAAGATCTCGATCCAACCATCTGGCCGAGTCAATCTTATCATTTCTGGAATAACTTTTTCTTCCCATTGTGCTTGGTAAAAGCCCCAACCAGAAATTTTTGGTGAACGAAATCGAAAGACGAATCTTCATATGGTAATACATCCAACACATTATACTGGAGAAACTCCACATTTGAAGGAAAACCTTCTTTTGGAAAAAGTGGAGAGAGGTCTACTCCTACAAATTTTGAATTTGGATATTGATTTGCCATATCCTATTTTTCGAGAATTAATATATTGATTTAAATTAATCAATTCAGCCATGATATTTAATAAAATCCGCTTACCAAAATCCAAGTTCCAGTTCCACATCTTTTTAATTATATTAAAAATATGACGAGCGTATATTTTTTTATCAGAAAATAAGCGAAATGCATACCCAAAATCCACGACACGAGCGCCTTGTTTCAACTTCTCTTCAATAGGTGAATTGAACAATCCACCCCAAATATCTTTCATTGCTAAAATTTGTATGTTATATTATTAGAATTCTAAAATTTTCTGTAAAAAACTCGATATTAAAGCAAAGTTTTAACCTTTATGATAACTTATCAAACGAATAGCCTCTTCATCATCATTTGGACCAAAATACTCTGAATCTGAAAGACCATGATATCGTCTATCGCCGATAAAGCGAAACTTGAATTTTCCATCTTCCTCGTCATAAATGCGTCTAGAGCAACAAGGTCCCATTTTTCATAATAGTGATAGAATTTCTTGTACGCGCGGTCATTAAATTAGCCAATGCGCTAGCCCAATAAAGTTTTATATGTACATGCACAAAACGAATCGTTACACTTACAATGTCAGATATAAATATTTTAAACACAATTATTTTAGCGTTAAACTTCCTCTATTATCACAGAATTAGAGTCAAACAATCTACGTGCCTTTACCCATTATTTGCGTGTATTTTCCAGGCCACTATTTCTTATGGGGCATATAACGATAATCCTAACGATAACCCTAACTAACCCAAACCCTAACTGAAACTTTATTTAATTAAGGGGGATGTCGGACGGTTGGTGTCGGGATCGGAATAACATGACCCGACACTTTTTTTTTGTCGTGGCTAGGGACTTTAGAAAATGGACATCATGATGAACAAATGGTACATATATGTAAAACGTTTCAATAGTACCTCAAGCAGCAATCGGTGAGACACATATGGTCAAAACATGACAATTGACCAAATCAATGCTATCAAATAGTATTATAAATTAGCAGAAATGGAAATGCTACTTCTCAATATAATTTTGATGATTGGTTCGAGATGCGATGGGAACGAGAGAAAGCATTGCGTGGTATCAGTATTTTGTCGATTTCACAAAGATAGTAAATGGGTCTAGACAAAGCATCCAAGTGGTTTTTTTAAAATTGACGAATTTTGAAAAGTTAATGCCAGACTTCGACTTAGTCTTGAGAATATGGGAAAGATATTGATAAAGCATTAAATGCTATGATGTTTAAGAAACCTCAACTATATTTTGAGTGTCAATCAAATATCAATATGACATGAAAATCTCTCAACGAATCCCTTAAAAATTCGTACATTTTCGTAAAGCAAATTTATAATTTATTTATCGCATACACTTCAGTAATATGCATAAAACTTGTGTTTAATAAAATCAATTTTATTCGATACATTCAATAACGATGGTGTCAAATCTATTAAATAATATTACATAACTAGTAACAGTAGAAATATTTTTATAAATTAAATTGGTGAAAAAAAGATATTATAAGGACCAAGTAATAGAAAAAAAAGTGTTATAATTTCTGCTTGGTATATGCACAAAGTTTAAAAAATTTTTTAAACTTTGTAATTTGTCAATGTAAAAGATATAAAAGATATCTTATGTATGATATAATCATCTTTGCGGTGACAAAACGAAGGTTTTATATGCACTATATCTCTTATGGCTATCAAAATTTTTATCCTTTTTTATTTAGGATGGATTGCATATATCGAACAAGGCATATAAGCTTCATAAAGGTATAGAGAATTTAATTATATTAACTTTCTCTTGCTTAAATAACGTAATACGTAGAACTAAAAATATAGAAAGTTATCCGATTCGAAGTTCCCGATCATATGAGCATATCGAGTTTTGACTGTATAGATATTAATAAAGCAATAATGATAAAGATATTATATTTGGAAACGTACAAGTATTATATAATCGAGTACGTAACTACAATTGTGGTTTTGAATTTAGCCACAATGTGACACCAGAATATCAAATTAGGAAGATTATCGTTATTGTGTAATTCAAACATCAAAACAAACGGATTATTTTTGAAAAATAGCTTGTATCTCGAAAATTTGCCTATGAAATTATCTTTTGTGCTCTAATAAAAATGTATTTGATACATATAATAACCTTGTTTCCCATGTAACCCCCTGACATCAAAAAAGAACACGTGATCAGAAAATATCGCCTAACTTTTGTAGCTAACGATTAATTTAACACAAATATACCTATCGTTATACATGTACACTACCATGTGAAAAACAATATGTACTTTGTAAATAGAAAATTTATTTGTAGTACGTATCGGTATCAGTAGATTCTAACCAAATTTAGCTAATTACCCGATTTAAATGGTCCAATTAAGAAAGCTCTTATTTTGAAGCCTAAGCCATATGACTTGAGTTTATACATGTACTGTGAGTATTTGGTATAGTGAATAATTACTAAACTGCAAGAGAAAATAATTTAGGATAATATCGGTGGATCGTATTGGTATAGTGTACAGTGAAATGAAACACGCGATCAAAACTTTCTAGAATTTTTATCTTCGTCAATTTTGTAAAACTGGGTAATTTAAATCAAAATTTTCAATTAGTAAATTCCTCACATTAAAGAATGTTTTTTCTATGACGGATTCAAATGTGGGCCACTAATTAAAAATTTTATACTCTACAAAATCCGCCTGTGTACCAATTTTCACAAAAAACCGGCTCAAAATTTATTTATAATTGAGATCCCGAAGGTTCGAATCTCTGTTAGGAACATTAATTCGCCTATTATTTTCTAACAGAGATTTGAACTTGAATCTTCAGGATCTTAAATCTCGAGCCAATTTTTGTGAAAATTGGTATACAGGCGGATTTTGTAGAGTATAACATTTTAATTAGTGGTCCAAATTTGATCCGTTATAGAAAAACGTTCTTCGATGTGAGAAATTTACTCATTGAAAATTTTGATCTAATAATCTGTTGTCAAAATATTTTGAAAATACTAGAAGTCTTGTGGTTCAAAATGAGTACTTTTTATTTTACTCGGACTGATATTAACAAAGATAAAAATTCTAGAAGTTTTGATCGCGTGTTTCATTTCTTGTATGAGTCACTGTAAATCATCTATAAACTAAAAAGTAATCCACAATATGATTAAGAAAGGCTTTACCGTTATATACAATTGGATTAAATTGGTATTTACTTACTAGTTAAGAAGTTTATAGAATTTAAAATATAAGCTTTATTGTTGTTGCACCATAAATTTTTTGGCGATTGATACTATACGGTGTTATCATAATTTTGTAATTTTGTCGTAATTGACGATTCATGCTTTTGATTCATTCATTTGTCAATAATGGCTGCTGACATTTATTTTTTAGAGATGCCTACCCCCACCTTCATATAAAGTAATGAATTTCACATGTCTTTAAATACCTAAGATTTTTGCTGACCCCTAAAATATTAGCTTATAAATGTCACTGTCCTCAACTAAAGAAGCGAGGGAAACCGTTTATGCTTTTTTTTTGAATCTCCATAAAACATTTTACAAGGTGTTTCAAAAAAATGGCGTAAAAAACATTTATTCTTATATAACGTCAACTTATCCCTTGTATGTTTTTAAAGCTTCAGATCATCAATTATTAAAATAGGAATTACTAGTACCTTGATTCAATGTACAGAGAGGTGACAAAAAATTAGGACTATCGTTAAAACCTTGATACATGTACTTGAGTTAATTTTTTATTAATATACTAACTTTTCATATGATAATTAAACTTATTCACCAAGTCAAAATTTATAATATAGTAAAATTATATAACATTTTGTACACAAA